ATTGTCTTTTCTCTAGCATGTTTGATAAAATTCCCTCCCTCCTTCCTTCCTTCCTTCCTTCCTTCCTTCCTTCCTTCCTTCCTTCCTTCCTTCCTTCCTTCCTTCCTTTCTTCTTTTGACAGGCAGAGTGGACAGTGAGAGAGAGAAACAGAGAGAAAGGTCTTCCTTTTGCCGTTGGTTCACCCCCCAATGGCTGCTGCAGTCGGTGCACTGCACTGATCCGAAGCCAGGAGCCAGGTGCTTCTCCTTTTCTCTCATGCGGGTGCAGGGCCCAAGGACTTGGGCCATCCTCCATTGTACTCCCGGGCCACAGCAGAGAGCTGGACAGGAAGAGGAGCAACTGGGACAGAATCCGGTGCCCCGACCGGGGCTAGAACCCGGTGTCATGGCACCCCAGACAGAGGATTAGCCTATTGAACCGTGGCGCCAGCCTAAAAATTTATTTTTATTATCGATAGTTTAGAAGAAACTCAGTTTGGTATTGGTAGTAGATAATTATATTTACAAATTTCAGAAAACTGCTATAAGGTCTTTTTATTTATAAGTTGTAATATTTTAGGACACTTCAACTCTTTTTATAGTGGTTAATTTTGAAGACTTTAATTTGATGACTTTCATAACATGAGTAGCTAGCCCATCCCAGCATCTTGGAGGCCTGTACAGTGAGGATCCCCCAAAAACAGACTTTGTCTTAGATAACCTGGTTTGGAACACATTATAATACAATCGTCTGGTTTTACACAGTTTCCGTGCTTTTTAGCCTCATTTTTGTTAGTCAGTTGAGACTATGATGAAATATGGATCCTCTCTTCGGCCCACAAAAAAGGCCACACAATATAAAATATTAAGTACAACTTCACAGCTCCCCTACAGGTAATTGTTGCTGCCAAGGATTTTTTCACTAAATGGATGGTTTATTTAAGGCTTTCTGTTTTGGTTTTCCTTCCCTGGTGTATAGGACAAGGCCTTACACTTTGTATGTTTGAAACACATGAGTGTTTGCTTAATGAATAAGGACAGAAATGGATGAATGTTGCCTGCCATACAATCTACCAGGTGTAGGAATTCTCTCGGGTTCAAAGATGGTTGGTAGTTATATTTCAGCAAACACTAGGACTCTTCCCTGGCAGTCCTAAAATACCAGGCACTTTGATGTTTTTTCCCTAACAAAGCAGAGTTCCTTTTCTCAAAGTATTTAAACTGCGTGGTTCTCATTTTCTTTTCTAAATGCATTTCTTTTTGTCTTTGGGATTTTACTGGACCCCGTGTTGGAGGACATCAGCTTTTAATGGCTTATTTTGCCTTCAACATTTATGACCAGGGACTCAATGTTTGACCTCGGGGTTAAGATGCCCATAGCCTACATTGGAATATCTGGGTTCAATTCCTAGCTTCACTCCTGATTCTAGTTTCCTGCTAATGTATACCTTAGGAGGCAGCAGGTGACAGCTCCAATAATTGGGTCCCTGCCATTTATGTGGGAATTGGATTGAATTCCTGGCTTCTGATTTTTGCCTTGGCCCAGTTCTTGGATATTGCAGGCATTTGGGGAATGAATCAGCAGAGACTACACACTTTTTCTCTGTCTCTCACTCTGCCTCTCAAATAAATAAGCATACTACAATTAATTTTTGCTCATTATTTTTATTTTTTTTAAATGTTTAGGTAAACAAATTTTATATATAAAGATTTAGGAATATTGTGATACTTTCTACCCTACCCTCCATTCTGCCCATGCTACCACCCTTCCTCCTCCTTACTCTCTTATCCCCACTCTTTAAGTTTTACAATGATCTACTTTCAGTTTACTTTATATTCATAAGATTAACACTACACTAAATAAAGAGTTCAACAGAGAGGAAGAAGAAAAAATTTAAAAAAAAACCTCACTGTTCCTCAACAGTAGAGACAAGACTTGTAAACAGTCATTGAGTCTCAAAATGTCAACTTCACTCCTATACATTACATTTCTGGTGCTCTATTAGTTACCACAGATCAGGGAAAACATATGGTATTTGTATTTGAGACTGGCTTATTTCACTAAGTATGATAGTTTCCAATTATTTAAAAATATATAATCAGTGGCCAGTGTTGTGGCATAGCAAATTAAGACCCTGCCTCAGCATCAGCATCCCGTATGGGCTCCAGTTCGAGTTCTGGCTGCTCCACTTCCAATCCAGATGCCTACTATTGCACCTGGGAAACAGTGGAAGATGGTCCAAGTACTTGGGCTCCTACACTCACATGGGAGATGCAGATGAAGCTCCTGACTCTTTGCTTTGGCCTGACCCAGCCCTGGCCATTGTAGACATTTGGGGAGTGAACCAGTGGATAGAGATCTTTCTTCCTCTACCTCTCTCAATCTGTAACTCTGCCTTTTAAATAAATAAAATGAATCTGTAAAAATATGCCTATATATACAAATATGAACACTTTAAGAGTACTTTTCATTTGTAATCCAAGGTTCTTCACTATTTCCTTCCCCCTTCCTACATTTTCATGGTATACTGCTATAGTAGGTATTATAGAAGACATAAGATGAAGGACAACCACAAACCTTGTAGTCAAGGATCTTCTGCTTAACAGAATTATGGATGAAGAATATAATAAAGAAGCAGTAATTCCGATTCTTATCTTGTTTAGACAAGGTCATAGTCAAAGTGGAGGTTCTCTCCTCCCTTCAGAGAAAGGTACCTCCTTCTTTGAAGACCTGTTCTTTCCACTGAGATCTCACTCACAGAGATCTTTTGCCAGAGTGTCTTGGCTTTCCATGCCTGAAATACTCTCATGGGCTTTTCAGCCAGATCCGAATGCCTTTAGGGCTGATTCTGAGGCCAGAGTGCTATTTAGGACATCTGCCATTCTATGAGTCTGCTGGGTATCTCACTTCCCATGTTGGATCACTCTCCCCTTTATTTATTCTATCGGTTAATGTTAGCAGGTACTAGACTTGTTTATGTGCTCCCTTTGACTCTTAGTCCTTTCATTATGATCAGTTGTGAACTGAAATTGATCACTTGGAATTGTGAGATGGCATTGGTACATGCCACCTTGATGGGATTAAATTGGAGTCCCCTGGTATGTTTCTAACTCTACCATTTGGGGCAAGTCAGCTTGAGCATGTCCCAAATTATACATCTCTTCCCTCTCTTATTCCTACTCTTATGTTTAACAGGGATCACATTTCAGTTAAATTTCAACACTTAAGAATAACTGTGTATTAATTACAGAATTAAACCAGTCATATTAAGTAGAACAGACAAAACAACTACTAAGAGGGATAATGTATTAAGTTTTTCATTAACAGTCAGGGCTATGCTGATCAAGTCACCGTTTCCCATAGTGTCCATTCCACTTCAACAGGTTTCCTTTTTGGTGTTCAGTCAGTTGTCACCGATCAGGGAGAACTCAGAGGGCTTCCATAGCCTTGGAAACTCATGACTGGAGCATAGGGAGATTACTGATGCCATAGACAGGAGTGTCAATTGGTAAAGTCAACAACAGGAGTCACTGTGCACTTACTCCTCATGTAGGATCTCTGTCCTTAATGTGCTGTGCATTGAGATTTAATGCTATAACGAGTACTCAAACAATATATTTCACTTTGTGTTTCTATGGGGGTGCAAACTGTTGAAATCTTAATGCATACTAAACTGATCCTCTGTAAAAAAAAAATTATCAACTTCCAACTTGACTTTCACTGGGATTAAACATGACAATAGGTCTGATCTGATTTCATCATCATTTTAAAAAAATCATCTATTATTTTTCACTTTATGTTTCTGTGTGGGAGCAAACTGTTGAAATCCTTACTTAATGTATACTAAGCTGATCTTCTGTATATTAAGATAATCGAAAATGAATCTTGATGTGAATGGAAGGGGAGAGGGAGTGGGAAAGGGGAGGGCTGTGGGTGGGAGGGACGGTATGGGGTGAAGCCATTGTAACCCATAAATCGTACTTTGGAAATTTATATTCATTAAATAAAAGTTAAAAAAAAGAAGCAGTAATTAACTTTGAAATAAAGAAAAACTAAAGTAAATCATAAGACTAGTGGGCTGGTAGTAATTGACATAAAGATTTTGATTATTTTTAATGTCTCCAGGTTTGACAGTTAAAGGAGACACTATCAATAGTTATGCAAAAAGATAACAGGCATAAACCAATACTATTTTTTGAAAGAACTGAGATAGTGTCACGCTATTCTTAAGTCTTCATTTTTCAAAATAGATTTATTTATTTATTTGAAAAACACAGAGAGAGAGAGGTCTTCTATCTGCTGGTTCACTCCCAAAATGGCTGCAAGGGCTAGGGCTTAGCCAGGCTGAAACCAGGAGCCCTGAACTCCATCCAAGTCTCTGACACTGGGGGCAGGGCCTGGGTGCTTGAGCCATCTTTGGCTGCCTCCCAGGCTCATTAGCAAGCAGCAGTTAGATGAGGCCAGAGGGGTGGATGGGAGTTAACTGAGAAGACTCCTCTTGGAAAGGGTCCATTTTGGCCACAGTGACAGAACATGGGAGCTTCCAAAGCTGGGAAGGCCTCTGATCCTAGTATAACCTCAGCAGACAAGGCCTAGATCTGGAGTCTTGCAGCCACTGAGAATCAGCTCTCTCTGCTTGTCTTGGCTGGATTGGAAGTAGAGCATCTTGGACACAAACTTGCCCCTATATGAGATACTGCCATTGCAGGCTGCAGCTTAACCCGCTACACCTCAATTGCCAGCCCCTCTTCATTTTTATTTAACAGTTTTTTAATGGGTGTTTTCATATTGCCTATAAGACTCAGATTATTTTCTGAGTAACCATATTTCAATCTCAACAATGCTCAACATGGCCAATATTGTCATATATACCTCCCTAACTCCTCACTTCATTTATAGAAAGCAAATAAAACCCATTTTCTTGATTCATCAGTGAATTTTTTGCTATACCATTCTTTCTTTTTCCCAACTTCCTTACCCAATCCTGCCACCATCCTACCCTTTTTATTTTCACTTTCAGCACTGCAACTCTGATGGCCCACCTCTGCCAGGACACATTTCTGTAGAAGTCAGCCCTGCACCGTGTGCAGCTCAGAGGGAGGAGCTGGACCAGCAGTGGCTCACACTCTGACCTCTTCTGCTCGACAGATGGTTCCGTCATGATGGTGGTGGAGGCTGGAGCATTCATAAGAGTCCCTTTCCTGCTCTTCTGGCTTGGGGTACCTCTGTCCTCTTTTAGCTTCTTCCAGGCTGGGCCCTCCCAACGCCTCAGCTCCCCAGAAGTAGTGATCCCCTTGAAGGTGACCAGCAGGGGTAGAGGTGCAAAGGCTCCAGGATGGCTCTCCTACCGCCTGCGGATTGGGGGCCAGAGGCACATTGTCCACATGAGGGTCAAGAGGCTGTTGGTTTCCACACACCTCCCTGTGTTCACCTACACAGAGCAGCATGGCCTCCAGGAGGATCATCCCTTTGTCCCTGATGACTGTTACTATCATGGTTACGTGGAGGGGGCCCCCGAGTCTCTGGTTGCCCTCAGCATCTGTTCTGGAGGTTTTCGAGGAATACTGCGGGTGAATGACCTCACTTATGAAATTGAACCTATTGTGTACTCCACCACATTTGAACACCTGGTGTATCAGGTAGGCAGTGATGAGACACAATCCCAATACATGAAATGTGGGTTGACAGAGGAGGACACAGCATACCAACGCTTGGAATTTGAAAAGGCTAAAAACTCACCTCTGAAACAAAATTCTGCTGGCAACTGGTGGACTCACACATTGTTTCTGGAGCTATTTGTGGTGGCAGATCATGATTTCTTCACCTACTCCCAAAGCAACATCTCCAAGGTGCAAGAGGATATACTTCTTGTTGTCAATGTAGTGGATTTCATGTATCAAAAATTGAATACTTGTGTGATATTGATTGGAATTGAAGTTTGGAATCAAAGAAATGCCTTCCCAATGAGAAACATAAACCAAATTCTAGAAGATTTCTCTCAGTGGAAACAAATCAGACTTTCCAAGACACAGCATGATGCTGCACATATTTTCATAAAAAATTCACTTATAAGTGTACTTGGTCTAGCCTATGTTGCAGGAATATGTCGTCCTCCTCTTGATTGTGGAGTCTGTAATTTTCAAGGCGACACCTTGTCTTATTTTGCGAACACTGTGGCCCATGAGCTAGGGCATATTTTGGGTATGCGGCATGATGAGAAATTCTGTTTTTGTGGGGAAAGTGGTTGTGTCATGAGTACTTTCAAAGTGCCAGCAGATAGATTCACGAATTGCAGTTACACTGATTTTATGAATACCACTTCACAACAGGGATCTTGTCTACACGGTATTCCAAGACTAGAGAAAGTCTTTATACTAAAGCGTTGTGGGAATGGCATGGTTGAAGGAGAAGAGGATTGTGATTGTGGATCCTTACAACAGTGTGAACAAGATCCCTGTTGTCTGTTGAACTGTACCCTGAGGCCTGGGGCTGCTTGTGCTTTTGGGCTTTGTTGTAAAGACTGCAAGTTCATGCCATCAGGGAAAGTGTGTAGGCAACAGGTCAATGAATGTGATCTTCCAGAGTGGTGCAATGGTATGTCACATCAGTGCCCAGAAGATACATATGTGCAAAATGGTATCCCTTGTGGTAAGAGCGCTTACTGCTATGAAAAGAGATGCAATAACCATGACCAACAATGCAGGGAGATTTTTGGTAAAGGTGCAAAGAGTGCCTCTCAGAATTGCTATAAAGAAATCAACACCCAAGGAAACCGTTTTGGACACTGTGGTACAAATGGCACAGCATACCTAAAATGTAATACTTCTGACATCTTTTGTGGGAGAGTTCATTGTGAAAATGTGGACGACATCCCTCATCTGCAAGATACTTCTGCTCTGCAGCTCACTCACATCAATGGTGTCACCTGCTGGAGTATCCAGCATCGTTTTGAACTGGGCAAACCTGACATTGGTGAAGTGAAAGATGGCACTGTCTGTGGAACTGGCAAGATATGCATCCACAGGAAATGCGTCAATCTGTCTGTCTTGTCACAGATCTGCCTTCCTGAGGCCTGCGATAAGAAGGGGATCTGCAATAACAAACATCACTGCCACTGTGGCCGTGGGTGGTCTCCTCCCAACTGCCTGCACAGAGGCTATGGAGGTAGTGTTGACAGTGGTCCAGCAGCCTCAGAAAGAAGAGCTTTCCTGCCACTATTAGTGATTATTTCTCTGTCTGTTTCCGTTGTTTTTCTGGCTGCTGGACTTTTTCTGTATTTTCAGAAACCTTTTTGACTCAAGATGGCTTGCTCATCAGGCTGAGAAAATGTCTCTAATTTAAGATTCCACACATGATTTTTAGTCTCTTGGTAGTAGAAATGTTATCACATACACAAAACTGAGTATATTTCAACGATTTTACAGAGAGATGCAGGGTTCTTTTCTTCTGTCGGTGTCAGCAAGTACAGATAATTCCTAGCATGTCTGTGCCTATTGTTCATTGTTTTAAGCAACAAATAAAACTCTATAAATTAAGGCACAAAATTTTGTCCTTTTGATGTTTTTTTTTAAACTAAGTTGTTTTAAATTTATTTGAAATGAGGAGACATGCACACACAAACACACACACACAGAGCGACAGAAACACACCAAGAGCCCACAACCCCAACTGGGTCACCCACATGAATAAGAGGACCCAATCATTTGAGCCATTATCTACTGCTTCCGAGGGTGTGCATTAGCTGAAGGGGAGCTGTGACTCCAACCAAGACATTCTGATATGGGATGCAAGTATCCCAAGAGACATTTTAACTGAAGCATCAAATGCCCACCCTGTTTTTGTGTTTCTTGAGTGTATGATTCACAGAAAATCAGTAGACAGACATCATAGTGTCCAGGGATAAGTCTTATGTTTCTACTGCCATTTAATACTTTAGGAAAATTAAGTAAAATGTTTTGACATTTTGCTTCAAAATCTGGAAAGGGTTATGATAATAATGATGACCCTACCCAACTCTTGTCAACAGAGAATGAAATGAATTATTGTTAACTGTAAGCCAGTTGCAGCCTCAGAATCAGCCCTTAAGGCATTCAGATCTGGCTAAAAAGCCCATGAGAGTTTCGCAGGCATGGAAAGCCAAGACAGTCTGGCAAAAAAAAAAAATGACCTAAATGAAAGATCTCTGTGAGTGAGATCCCAACGGAAAGAATGGGCCATCAAAGAAGCAGATACCTGTCCCTGAAGAGAGGAGAGAACTTCCACTTTGACTATGGCCTTGTCTAAATAAGATTGGAGTTGGCAAACTCAAAAGGTTTCCATAGCCTTGGCAGCTCATGACAAGAGCCTTGGGTGATTACTGATGTCATAAATAAGAGTGTCAATTGTTAAATCAACAACAGGAGTCACTGTGCACTTACTCCCCATGTAGGATCTCTGTCCTTAATGTGGTGTACTATGCGAATTAACGCTAAAACTACTACTGAAACAGTACTGTATACTTTGTGTATCTGTGTGGGTGCAGTCTGTTGAAATATTTACTTAGTATATACTAAGTTGATCTTCTGTATATACAGATAATTGAAAATGAATCTTGATGTGAATGGGATGGGAGAGGGAGTGGGAGATGGGATGGTTGTGGGTGGGAGGAGGCTATGGGGGGGGAGCCGCTATAATTCAAAAGTTGTACTTTGGAAATTTATATTCAATAAAATTTAAATTAAATAAAAGTTGAAAAAAAATTATAAGCCAGTTGCTTCTTGTTTGATAAAAATAAAACTCCTGACCTTGTTTCCCTATGTGCTTCCTAGCCAAGTCTATTTTCTTTCTTTTTAAAGATTTACTTATTTATTTGAAAAGCAGAGTTACAGAGAGGCAGAGGCAAAGACAGAGAGAGAGAGAAATCTTCCAACCCCTGGTTCACTCCCCAAATGGCTGCAATGGCCAGAGCTGGGCCAATCCAAGCCAGGAGCCAGGAGCTTCTTCCGGATCCCCCACATGGGTGCAGGACCCAAGGACTTGGGCCACCTCCACTGCTCTCCCAGGCCATGGCAGAGAGCTGGATCAGAAATGGAGCAGCTGGGACTCAAACTGGCATCCATATGGGATTCCAGCATTATAGGCGGCTTCACCCGCTATACCTCAGCAATGGGCCTGCCCCAGTTTATTTTCTAACTTTTGCCTTCACCTGGTAGTTTGAAGATCCTTTTGGAGTATTTGCTTTGATTACCTAAATATGCACTCTGTGAGGGAAAGATACTGTTGTATCCTCAATACTTGCAGTGGTGTTTAATATGTAGACAAAAAATATTGGAATGAAATTGAATGGAGTACTAAATTAGGAAAAATACAAATAATACTTTCCCATTTTGGGGACATCATTAAAACTCTTTGAGTTCTTAAAATGTATCTCTGAATATCTAAAATGTTTATCTAAAATTCTACTGTTCATACCTGGTACACTTTGCTGATATTTTTGTTCCCAATTTGTTTTTTCCTCTGTCTAGTCTCAGTGTTCGTGGAAACCCCATCTCTTGAAAACACAGATCTATTCAGGTTCTCTTTGAATTATTCAGATTACTTTGGAATGCAATTCTGTTAACTGATTCAAATGACTTTTTAAAATAAAATTATTTGAGAGAGACAGGGGGAGAGAGCGCGAGAGAGAGACAGTGAGCAAGAGAACTCTCATCTGCTGGTGGAAGGGACCTTAAGCTATAATCATCTGCTGCCTCCAGCATGCACAGTAGCAGAAAACTGGAATTTGGAATATAGGCATGACTCAAACCCAGGTACTTGGATATGGCATGCAGGTTTCCCAAGCAATGTTTTAACTGCTAAGCCAAACACTTGCCCCTCAAGTGACACTTTTTATATCATTTTCCATTATGCTTTGCCAACTTGCATCCTTTAGCTACTGGATTATGTACATGCCATTGCATCTTTGGAAAGAAAAAGGGTCTGGAGGTGCTGCAGCATTATCAGTTGGGAAAAACTGCATGGGAAAGGAAGCTCTGTGCATCATTTCTTCATTCCTGTAGCTATGTGACTTGATCTTAACACAGTTCCTGGGTGTTTAAAGCAGACAAATCCAGAAGACTTTGGCTCTCCTTCTCTGTCTTTGCATAGAGTCACTTCAACTAGTGGTGCAGCATATAAGAAACTGAAGTAACAGCTTGTAAGGAATCTCTGCCAGCACACTGGCCCATACAATGCCCACAGATACCATCTTATCTGCCTCCTCCTGAGCAGGGCACATCCCTCAAGCCTGGGCCCTAGGGTGGAGGAGGCTCCAAGACCTCAGTAACAGTTC